CCCACACAACACCCACACACACACACACACACACACACACCCCCACACACCCACACCCACCCACCCACACGCACACACACATCCCAGAGCCCCTGGACCCTGCTCCAGCCTGGCAGATGGAAACAGAAAACGAGCTGTGAAAGCCCCATCGCCCCTTCCCCCACTGCCAAAACCACTCTGCTCTGTTCATCACCATCAGCTTCAGCCTGATGAACCATCACCTGGAGGGCAGCTCTGCAGGGGCAGAACCTTCACCTGGGAAATGCAGGGGGAGAGCTCAGACCACAGGCTTGATGTTTGCACTTTTGGCACCAAGTGCCATGGCAGAGCCTCTGCAAGGAAGGGCACGAGACCCTCTCCATCTGCAACATCAGCACCATCCTGCAGCTCCCAGCAAACCCCCCTCTCCTGGCAAGGACCTTTCTCCAAGCTCTTCTCAGCTCTCCTACATTGTTCCAGGTGGGAACAATCTCAGCTGTCTCTAAACTGGAGGCTGAATTCCCCACCCACTGCTCCTGGTTGCCACCTGCCCCACAGCCCAGCCCAGCTCCAAACTTTGCTCCCAGCACCTCGATTAGGCTGAAGCAGCCAAGATTTACCCCTGTGAGGCTGCTGGGCCAGACTGAACCTTCTCCCTGCTGTTCAGATGGCCTGGAAATAGCCAAAGGCACCTCCAGGGCACAGAGCCCACGCTGGTGTTACGGAAAAGCAGGTGATGAAGAGCCTTTCCTCTGCCTGGCCACAAACTCTGAAGTGTCACCTGCCCAGCACAACCTCCCCTCATCTTCGCCCCCCCCCCCCCAAAACCGGGGCCCCCACCCCGGGGGCGGGCATTCCAGTCTGGAGGGGGATTTGGGGGCCTAGGCATGGACCCCTCTGTGCCCAGCCCAGTCCCAGCTGTGGCCGTGCCAGAGTGTCCTGACAAACCTTCAGCTGGGGCTGGAGGAAGCACCCGTGGGGTGTTCAGCCACCCCAAGGCAGCCCCAGGGACACCCTGCCCTCAGCTCCCCAGAGCAGAGAGAAGCTCCTTGGAGGCTGAGGCTCCCCAGCCCACACTGGGGAGCACGGGGGGAGGCCAAGTGAAACGCAGCACTTGGACTTGTGGCTTCAAGACCAGCTGCTTCCTCACAAGGCCCGGAGGAAGACGAGGGACAAACCGCGCTGTGGGACGGAGCTCGAGCAGAGAGTGACTTACCCCGAGGGCTGGAGGCATCTCTGCTGGGCTCCCCAGGCCTGCTGCACCCAACGGCTGCTTCCCCAGCTGCTGCAGCAAAGCAAGAGCAGAGACTCATCGGGGGAGCAGCCGCGGGGTTGGTTTGCTCACGGGGGCCTCTGGCTCAGCCATCTCACCGCTTCCCCTTTCCGACAGCACCGACACACCCGCCTCTCCCATCCTGCGGTTCCTGGGGCCCCGGGGCTGCCCCTGGGCTCCTTCCCACCCCGGCAGGGCTCTGGGCTCTGGGGTGATCCAGCAGAGCCTCTCAGGGGGCTTTGTGCACCCCCCGAGGGTCCCGGCAGAGCTGCCCAACCCCTTGGGCTGCGAGGGCAGCGATTGCCGCAAACTGCTTCCTGTTCCCTTCGGAGAAAAACCGCCGGGTGTGTTCCCGGGGAGCCCGGCACCCACGGGCTGCACCCCGGGGCTTCTGGCACCATTGCTGCCAGCCAGGGCGGCCAGCGAGGCCTCACACGGGGCTCCCACCAATGAATCCTTTGGCAGATCGACTTTGGGCAGGAACAGAGACCCTGACACCCACCAGGCCTCGGCCGCAGTTGTCTCTGCAGGTGGAGGCAGATGGTCCCAAAGCCAGGGGGTCCCCCGGCCCTTGCCATGTGCTGTGTGACAGGCAGGGCCCCCAGCACAGATTCACCCCATTCCCCACCAGTGTCAGCACAGGCTCCTCGTCCCGAGCACCCGCGGCCCCAGCCAAGCCCTAATCAGAACAAGATCCACTCACACTCTGGTTACTCAGAGACCGCAGCTTTTGGCAGCACTTGGAGCAGCAATTACCCCGTGCTCCAGGAAACCACAAGAGCAAAGAGGAATTAAGGTTTAATTTCTCTCAAGTCCACCAGAGCTCAGTCAGGATCAGAGAGCAGGGCAGCTGCCCCAGCTGGTGGGATGGGGTGAGATCTTCTCCTCCTGCCCCGTGTCTGATGTGGGGGTTACTGGCCTGGAGCTGTGGGGGCACTTGGAAGAGCACTGAGGGGTAACAGCAGGGGGGCTGGCAGGGCCTCCACAGCATCCCCGAGAGCCCAGCAGGCAGCAAAACCTCCCCTGACAGCAAGTTCAAGCTGTGGCTTCGCTTAATGTCATGTTTCGGGCTCCCCAGAGAACAGGACGGTGCCAGAAGAGGCAACTCCAAAATATTCTAAAGACTCCAGTTTGTTTCTTGCCCCCTCTCACGGTCAGGGAGCTCCAGAGGGGCTGAGGCAGGAGCTGAGGAGGCCACAGAGCCCCTTGGGGTGCCCGGGGGAGCAGAGGCGGCTGCTGAGCCCCCTCCAGCCCCGCGCTGGGAGGCACTAGGTGGCATCAGGGAACTGCTTGAAAGAGTCCAGCGCAGAGCTACGAAGATGATGAAGGGAGTGGAACATCTCCCTGATGAGGAAAGGCTGAGGGAGCTGGGTCTCTTTAGCTTGGAGAAAAGGAGACTGAGGGGTGACCTCATCAATGTTTACAAATATGTAAGGGGTGAGTGTCAGGGGGATGGAGTTAGGCTTTTCTCAGTGATGCCCAGTGATAGGACAAGGGGTAATGGGTGTAAATTGGAGCACAGGAGGTTCAAGGTGAATATCCGAAAAAAATTGTTTTACTGTAAGAGTGACAGAGCCCTGGGACAGGCTGCCCAGGGAGGGTGTGGAGTCTCCTTCTCTGGAACCTGGATGAGTTCCTGTGTGATGTGCTCTAGGTGACCCTGCTCTGGCAGGGGGGTTGGACTAGATGATATTTCGAGGTCCCTTCCAACCCCTGGGATTCTGTGATTCTATGATTCTGTGATCGGTCCCAGCCCGACCAGCACCATCACCCTCCCAGCCCCGCGCTGGGGAAGCTACTGGGAGTTGTCAGGGACAGGGGTGAGGAGGGTTCCCCTTCACCCTCCGAAAAAAACCCAAAACAACAACAAAAAGCAGCAGTTCAGGCCCCTCCCTTTCCTAACGGTTCGTTGTGTGGAGGGTGAAGGGCCGGGAGGGCCCTGGGAGCTCCCGGGGGGCTGAGCATCCCCGGAGCGCAGGGGCAGGAGGGACCATCCCCGGGGGCTGAGCAGCCGGGGCTGCAGCCACCCTGTGGGGCTGGGAAAAGCCACAGGGAAGGGAATCCTGAGCCAAACGCACCAGTTCCCCGAGGGGCAGCGCTACCCCAGCCCGCCGGGACCCGCCGGCAGCTCCTGACGTTACCAGCGCAGCCGGCCAGGGGGGAAACACAGCGGGTCCCCCCCGCCCCACCTCGCTGGTGCAGCTGCTCAGGAAGGAAATCTCACCTCTGGTGAAACAAAACAAGGTTTGGGTGAAAAGCTTTTCTGCTTCCTGAGCGCCCTCCCGCAGAGCAGGGGGGGGATGTTCCTGCTGCAAACCCTGCTCAGCTGCAGGGCTGGGATCAACCAGCTCCTTGGGTTTGGGATGAGGTTTTTTTCGTTTGTTTCCCAAAATTGCCCACGGGGAGGAACACCTGGGGCTGTTGTGCTCGTGGGAAGAACCAGGAGAAGGTTACGGAGAAGCAGCTCCCGCTGGTTCAGGCAGGAGGAATCCCTCTCCCAAATTTCCCCCCTGGCATCAGGCTCCTCAGAGCCCCAGGGGGAGGAACAGCCCAGCCTGGATCCCAGGAGCACCAGCCCAGGAGCTCAAGTGGCTTCAGACCACAAACCCAGCACTGGCAGATCTGGGTTGTTTGTTGTGGGTTGTTTTTTTTTTTCTCTTCACACCCTTAATTTTCCAAGTATTGCTTATTCCAAGATACTTACTTAGTGCTTTCCCTGTGGTAAAGCAGCATCCAGGGCTGCACAGACCTCAGACACATGAAGAGAGTTATTCTTGGATAATTTATTCACAATTTTAATATAAACAGTTAATTGTTCAGAATTCTGACACTCAGCAAGGTTGTTTTGTTTTTCTTAATAGTCAAAGATATTTTCTGTACATGTCACTGCTTGGCTCTGATGTATGAAAACATTGAAAAAGGAAATCCAGAAGGAAGTTTTTTCTTTGTTATATATATTTTTTTAAACTTATTTTCTTCCTTTTTTAGAAAAATGTCATGGCATGTTTGATCCTTGATTGGAAACAAGAGGAATCTGCAACCCTGCTTTTAGTCTGGAACCTCAGATATGCAACGTGGGAGAAGCAAAATGCAACAGTAAAAGAAAAAAGGACTTCACAGAACATCCCTTTACACGTAACTGAAAGTGGTTTTAGTTGATTTAAGTGCAAGAGAAAAATCTTCACTTTGGGCTGTGTTTGGTAACACCAAATGTCCAGCACCCCCCTCCATGCAGGTCCTCAAACCCAGTTTTTAAAGTCCCTGAATAAAATAATTGCCCAAACTAAAGCAACAGGAAACACTTTCCCTCTTTAACTAATGTTCTGTTGAAGTGGCCTTTGGGAAATTCTCCATCGATTTTCTTGGGACTGGTATGGGAGAAGTACCTGGAAATGAAGGTGCTGGGAGCTTTGCTGGATGCTGCTGGGAAAATCGGGATTAACAGAAGAGCTTTGGGATTGAGTCCAGCTCAGATCTCTCAGGTGTTCAGTCCTGAGTTCAAGCTTGACTGGTGATACTGGGACTGAGCCCATCCAGTG